ATGTTTAGTTTATAAAGGCATATTTTGGTACAAATCTTGAAGTGGGCCAACTGAAGTGGGAAGGGGCTCGTAGGTAGTTAAAGTAGAAGCATGTACGCTTCTGATGACGATTGAAGATCACGTGAACCGAAACGATGCGAATCAAAAAACCTTATAGACAATGGAAGTGCGATAAACAACATATTTGTATTATGCTATTGTTTTTCCTAGATAATTCAAGCTTAATTAGCACAAACCGGTCACAGCTAGTTACTGTCGATAATCATTATATTATTCGTCATTCGTGTACAAAGCAGGCCATGAAGTGCTCCAAATTACGCAGCACCGGTGGCGCTGGTATGCAGCAAACTTTTGATAGCGCGAATCAGATAGTGAATTATGTGTCCAATGAAAAGCTTTCATCAGTAACCATTAGCGTGCTCACATCGGCATAATGCTATTTAATGTGTGTATGTTGGACACACTGTTTCAAAGCGAGCTCTTTTATGTCACTAAATCTGAATTCAACGCGATGTTTTGCTACAAACCAGCGTAGCATTACGGGATGTCATCAGGGGTTGCATTTGAAAATGTGATCAGGATTGAAATCCAGAGAAATTATGATAAAAAAGTAAAATTGCATTCCGTTATCACTAGTAATTAGTTACTAGGGGATGAAATGAGTTATGAAGGCGTGTACTTACCAAAAAATCTATCGCGAACGATGATATCGAATGTTTATAAATGTTTGTACATGCGTAAGTGCCTACAAATATGTTGTCCTCACCGAACGAACATATTTAAGGGACAGTCGCTTCCCACGCGATTTGAACGTCCCGTTGGCGTGTCGAGCGAAAAATTAAATTATATCAAATATGACTTCTTTTAAAATAAAATAAAAACGTTTGACGTATGTGCTGCGTCTTTCTTTATACTGTACAAGTTAATAGAACAGAATCGTCGCAAAGAATAAAAAACGCAAATCTTGGGTGTCCAATTTCTTAAAAACAAGAGGTTCAGAGATAGTTTGTTTATAAACCTTACTCGAATGTTACCAAAAACAACTTCAACAAATATCCAAGTGTGATACAAACTATTGATCGTGAGTTCATCCTGAAATTAGATTGACAATTACCTTACGCTTTTAAGCCACAGGAGTAAAAAGTACAAATCGTTTGATGTTACCGACCTTGCACGGAATGCTGACGAACACCTACAAACGTTTGTAAATATTTGTCGCTACCGTGTGATTCAAGTCCACACCAAACACGCACTGCATTTGAATACGTCTACAAACGTTTATTAATATCACTGATCAACAGCCAAAAAATATCCTAAATAAAATCAACAAAATATTACTATTTTTAATGTGCTAAAACCGGAATGAAACTTATTTTTTCAATATTAGTTCAAGTTTTAGAGATACGGTAATTATATGTGTTCCTGCTGTGACAGTGTTAATATACTGTAATTCACAAGAATACACGTGCTACATTTTTATATTCGGCAAGGAAAGATGATGTAATCGGCATGATTGTGTTACGTTATACATACGTGTACATTATATTGTTTTATATTAGCCATTTTTTCCTCAGTTGGCTGACAGCGTTCATGCAAGATGTCTCGAAAGTGTGTAAACAATCCAGATCAGTTTTGTTACGTGTGTGGTGATGTGACTTTTGCGTCTCAGAGACGGTCTATTACTCCACTAATAACAGAGGCATATCAGCTTTATTTCGGTTGTAAACTAGGTAATCAAGACAAAACAGTGGGCACCCCACATTTGCTGTAATACATGTGCTTCAAGTCTGAGGAGCTGGTTAAATGGCAAAAAACGGTCTATGCGCTTTGCTGTCCCAATGGTTTTAAGAGAGCCTACAAATCACATTAATGATTGTTACTTTTGCATGGTACCGTGTGTTGGACAAGCCACAGGTATGTCCAAGACAAAAAGATCGGTTATTTACTACCCAAACATACCATCTGCGATGAGACCTGTGCCTCACAGTGACGAAAATCCTATTCCAAAACCCCCAGAATCCTACACTTGCGAATTAGAAAACGAATCAGATCATGACGATCGAGTGATTCGTCAGGAAGAAGATATGCCATCAACGTCAACAGATCCTGATTTTATACCGAGCACGTCATGCCACCAACCGCACAAAATAACCCAGTCAGAATTAAATGATCTTGTAAGAGATTTAGAACTTCCAAAATGTAAGGCAGAGTTACTTGGATCAAGACTGCAGCAGTGGAACTTGTTAGAAGACGATGTTTCGGTATGTGTTTTTCGTAAACACCACAAAGACTTAGAACCATTTTTCAATATGGAGAATAACTTGGTTTTCTGCAGTAACATTAACGGCTTACTGGCGGCTTTAAATATAAACTATAACCCAGAAGAATGGAGATTGTTTATAGACAGTTCAACATTGAGTTTAAAGGCAGTGTTATTGCATATTGGAAATATTTTACCATCTCTTCCTGTAGGGTATGCAGTTCACATGAAAGAATCATATGACAATATGATGTACCTATTCACATGCATAAAATACGACGAGCACCAATGGCATATTTGTGGCGATTTGAAAGTTGTTGCACTTTTACTTGGGCTGCAGCTAAGCTACACAAAGTTTTGCTGTTTTTTGTGTGAATGGGACAGCCGGGCAAAGGCACTTCACTACACCAGACAAAACTGGCCTGTTCGGCAATTCCTAGAGCCAGGTCAAAAAAATGTACAGCATATGCCATTAGTAGATTCGAAAAAAATTTTATTACCACCACTGCATATCAAGTTGGGCCTAATGAAAAACTTTGTCAAGGCATTAGTTAGAGATGGGTCAGCTTTTCAATACCTGCGTCAGAAATTTCCAAGACTAAGTGAGGCAAAGGTTAAAGAAGGTATTTTTGTTGGACCACAGATTCGAAATATTTTGAAAGATACACAGTTTGAAGACACTTTAACAGGTATTGAAAAAACTGCTTGGAATGATTTCCGTCTGGTGGTCACTAATTTCTTGGGAAATAGAAAAGCTGACAACTATAAAACCCTTGTCAAAAATATGCTGTCATCGTATCAAAAGATGGGCTGTAATATGTCTCTTAAGATACATTTCCTACACTCACACCTGGACTTTTTTCCTGACAATTGCGGAGCCGTAAGTGATGAGCACGGCGAACGTTTTCATCAGGATATTTGAACAATGGAAAAAGGGTACCAGGGAAAGTGGAATCCTTTCATGCTTGCAGACTACTGTTGGACTCTTGGTAGAGATGCTCCAGAAACGATCCATAAAAGAACAGCAAAAAGACAGCGCATGTAGTGATTCTTATAAGTATATGAATCTTGTTACATTTTTTAATATATCCTTAAAAATAAAAAGTTTTTTTTCTAAACCGCAACTAATTTGTTTATTTCATTGTCATTTTTGGATTCAGCGCCCCAAAATTAACAATGAAGTGCACTTTTCCCACAAGATACAATTAAAAAACTAAAATTTGTTGTCCAGTGATTTTGCGCGTTTGGTGAGAACGCGCCTATAGGCTACGGTTACTTTATATACGACGAAATCGAATACAAGGCGGTTGCATGGTGCGCGCTTTCTGACGTTTTGGTAGTCACTACGGTTCTGCCACCCCGCAAATATGGACGAAGCTGAGGAATTTTATTTCTTTCAAAGTTCGTTACTGAAGTTATTAATGCTAAATGGGGAATGCACAGCACTTCAATATGACAAACGTCTTGAAATGTTATTTGAAAAATTGCTGAAATAACCTCAAACGTTTTTCGAGTATTTTAGAGTAATGGTGATGTATGTAAATGTGTATCATGTAATTCATAAATCATATGCCCACATCACAATAAAAAAGAAATACTGACAGCTAGTGTTGAGCTATGTAGCAATTTTTATCCATTTGTTTCCGAAAAATGTCTCTGTTGTCGGAGTAGCACCACTTCTGACATACGATCAGTAGTCTAAGCCTGCTTCACAACAACGTAAGCCAAGTTTTTGGCAGTAAAAAGTCACTAAAAACATCTCCAGGTCATTACAAATATCGCCTGCGTCTCTCTAGCTCATTGATTCCCAAAGTGGTCTATTTCGACCCCTAGGGGTCTATGAAACCTGCAAGGGGTCTACGTCAGCAAAAAAAAATTTGGGGGTCCATGAAATGAATATAGGGGTCCACGATAGTGGATCTCAACACATACACTGATAGTACCTATTTACTTACATCATACTATCTTATAATATCAAAACATATACATTATTTATAAAAGTACCTATGAACATTTATTATATATGTTTATAAAATTGTGTAGGATGATGGTATTCGTTTTGTGGTCGCAATACTTTTTGAACTTGTAAAAACCTGAGAGTCGCAGTCTCAGAGCTTTGCTACCTTGCACTGACTTGTTCAATTCGTCACTCTATATGAATGTGGGACAAATACGTTTATTCGTTTCCTGAAAAGAAAAGTGCTAAGAAAATATTTAAAAAAATATAAACAGATAGTATATCACACAAATTATAGTGAGTCAGTGTTATTTTGTTTGAGAGTGCTGGAGAAAAGTAAGTACATTATTTTTTATTAAATTTTAGTTTTGTACTCGTAGTTAGCAAAGATAGATAAATTACGCCAATCATGACTTTAGTTATTAGTAGTTAAATATTCAATCATGCAAAATTACACGAGTACTCCACAATAGTTTCATTTTGAAAGTTTTAGCAATCGGTAATATAATTACGGTGCAATCTCCGTAATTCGAGCTAATTGTTGCAAGAAGATGTTCGAATTATGGAATGTTTTCGGAAAAATCAAAAAATATTTATACAGCTGCCGGATTTTCTGTCTTATTTAAATAATTTAATTTTGCCCACAGATGACTGATGCCATGTCCGAATCTAAAAAGAAATGTAGACAGTGTTGATTATTTGAAATTTGGCTTCATTCCATCATTGCTGGGCAAACAATCGCCTATGTGCCTTTTATGCAACAAAGTTTTGGGCAATGACGCGATGAAACCAGCTAAACTGCAAGATCATCTGAGAAGATGCCACCCTGATAAAACAGAGAAGGATTTGAAATACTTTCAAACACTCAAAGATAAATCTCAGAAGAGACCTACCCTGGACAGAATGTTCGCTTCGACGTCACAAAGAACTGATGATGGTTTGCGGGCGTCGTTACTTATAGCAAAATTCGGAAAACCGCATACTATCGGAGATAGTTAATTTTGCCAGCCGTTGAAGAGGTTTTAAAAACTGTTTTAAACAAACCTGCATCTGACATCATTAAAAGAATTCCCTTAAGCAACAATACTGTTGAAAGACGTATTGATGAAATGAGTTCTGATATTGCAAGCTTCTTATGTAATTATTTGCAAACGACCCATTTCTCTATACAACTGAACGAGTCAACTTTACCTGATAATGCAGCATTATTATTGGCATATGTTCGTTTTATTATGAATCAAGAAATCTACGAAGAACTGCTCTTCACAAGAACTTTGATAACCGACACTAAAGGTGAATCAATATTTTATGTTTTGAAGGATGACTTCATTGAAAAAGCAATTCGTTTATCAAATATAATATGAGTAGCTACAGATCGAGCACCTGCCATGGTTGGACGTTATCGTGGATTTATAAGCTAGGTAAAACAAAATGTGTCAGGGGTGTTAGCAATACATTTCGTCATCCATCGACAACATTTAGTTGCTAAAAATTTGAGTGTTAGATTGCATGAATCACTTCATTTAGTCATTGATGCAGTAAACCGAATCCGGAACAACCCGTTGAATACGCGGTTATTTGCGCAGTTGTGTGAAGAAAATGACGAATACTTTCATCAATTACTCCTTCACACTGAAGTACGCTGGCTGTCGAGGCTTATGTTTGAAAAGATTTTTTGCACTTTTCGAGACTATTTTAGAATTTCTGGATACTAAAGATAAAATTTTAAAAGAAAATTTAATGTAGAGGAAAACAGACATCGCCTATTTAACAGATTTGTTTACAAAATTTAATATGGTTAATTTGAAATTACAAGGCGACAGTTTAAATTTGATTAAAACAAAGTCCATCTTATCAGCGTTTCTTGTCAGAGTTAAACTAATGAAGCAAAATATTGGACGGGGCGAATTTTCTCAGTTCCCCAATTTGTCACAGACAAGCTGCCAGGAAGACGACGTTTCAACTTACGTTCAACATTTAAATGCCCTCTATTCAGATTTTGAATCTAGGTTTGAGGATATTTTGACTATGGTAATACCACCGTGGATAATTAATCCATATGGTGACATAGAAGATACGAATGTCATAATACAAGAGGAACTGACTGAACTAAGTACAAACGAAGAACTTAAGGTTCAGTTTAAAAACGGATATCAGCAATTCTGGCTGCAAAACAACATACCCGTTACTTATCCCGTATTATGGAATATAGCGAGGAAGTTTTTAATTTCCTTTCCATCGTCATACCTAGTGGAAAGGGGGTTCAGCGCGGTTACCAATCTCCTAACGAAAAAAAGAAACAGACTGGACATCATTAGCCGAGGAGATTTAAGATTGACCCTTACAAAATTGACGCCAAAGGTTGATAATTTATTATTAAATCATCAGGTTCATCCTTCTCACTAAAAATATTGACTTATTGCTTATGTTATTTTATTTATAGTTTGTTTTATGTTTATTGGTGTCTGACCAATAAATGCCGGCATTGGGAATAAGTGCCCGCATTGATTTTTTTAAAGAACCCCCTTTATAGAAAATATTTTTTTTAAAATTATTCTGAAAATTCAAGGATAGGTACACACTGAAATTCGTTAATTTTTTGACTATTTTTAGATAACTTAAACGTATAAGAAGCGGAATTTAGTCAAACTAACAGTGAAATTATTCTAGAACATACGTTTATGTTATAATTAATAGACGAACTCGCTTATTCTACTATTTTAAGTAAAAAACTTTTTTTTTATTATTTTATCCCTCTTATTTTTTTTCAATGCGGGTACTTATTCCCAATGTGGGCACTTATTGGTCAGACACCTGTTTGTTTAATGTTACGTATATTTTACATAACAGATACAAAATTTTATTTTGAGTAGTTTTAATTTAAATTCAATTAATAAATGTATAAATTAACATGGGTGTTTACTTTAAGTTTTTAATACTAAACTTCACTACAGTTAGAAATTTACAGGAAATCAATATCAGGTAAGTAGGGGGTCTACCCAACACGGAAAAACATGGCAAAGGGTCTACGATACAAAAAAGTTTGGGGAACTCTGCTCTAGCTAATGTGAAAGTTTATCCTGATCTGTCTATCTTTCTATTTTCCCCATTTAATGTATTCTTATTAATCTTGTCATCCCTGTTCTTATTTGTATTTCTATGTCGCTAACTAAATTGTCATTTGTAGTGTGTATAATGGAGGCGATTCTTCAGTCCCCACCAATACCTATGACCAAGTATGAACGGACCATTTTAGCAAAATTTGCATCAGTCGGACGTTTCGTAATACATCGGATTCCGTAATTCTGATTTTGCTTTCACGAAATCCTGCCTCGAAATATTTGATTAATTTACACACTTCGCATTGTTTCTCCGCCAATTCGCAAGGATTCAACGCAACTTGTGGGCATTAAAGATAGCTCTCCCGCCAAAACATGCATCCCGGCTAGGGATGGCAATTTTGCAGAAAACATCGATGTCCAGATTTCGATAAACCATCGTAATAAGGATGGATTTGATACATTGGAACAAACTATCTGCGTATATGATATCGATCTATCGGAACTTTGAACTATGTGCTTTTAATTTAGCAATGAACTCCTCGATTGCAATAGACTCCAGCGGAATCGTCTTTTTATCAATTAGTGGAATTCCTACCGCTTTATTTTACTTAATTTCAAGAGAACCTAGAACATAAAAAATGCGACAGCAACTCTATAAGAGGATGAAAGGACAATACCTCAGTAACCGATTGCATTATTGTCAACATTAAGCATATTGATGTTCGTGAAAAAATGAGAAAGTTAGGCTATAATAATCTAGCTCATTAATATATGAAAATAAATATTACTTAACATTTAAAATTAGATAGAGTGTAATATCTAATGAATAGTGTCGTCAGGGTTAACTTTTCACTTCCTACTCATCTCCATCATCAGTTCATAAAAAATTAAGTGTCTGCGAGGCGGTCAGCACAGATAGTAGACGGAGGAGAATCGTTTCTCTATAATTGTAAAGACAAATATACGGAGAAACCTATGATGCGTGAAATATGGCTAATAAGTATGAGGAATCACCAGACTTGGGAGCATAGCATAAAGAAATTAAGATATACCTTCCCCACCCCTTGCATCCCTAACCTCCAGTTTTAACTCCCACAAAAAAAAAATTGAACAATTTTTATTTTCTCGTGTGTTGACTCGTAGTTCCTCCATAACTGAAAACATTTTCATCAACTATAATATACACATATAGGCACTAGCGTATCATTAATCTGGGTACAAATAGACATACTTCATGTCAAGATATGCCGATGTTTATGATGATTTACGACGTCAATGCATCGATACATCGACATACGACGGTCAATGACAAAACATCGAATGTATACAAAAATACAGTCTCGAAGTGATAAACAAAAAAGAAAGACCTATGCTTCCAATGAGTTTGACATCAGACAGTTACATTTTTACAATCTTATTACTCTTCAGTATAAAAACTGACGTTCATTGAGGCAGGTTGAACAATGCTATGGCACCCATCAGAAAATGCTGTCCCACAATGTAGTCCCAAAGCCGGCGAAATGACACACAAAGGTCCTGAATTTTTCCCTACCCAAGGTTTCTCAATGCCATCTCAGTGTCTTGAAAAAAGCAAACAATTTAAATTCAATTAAATAACAAATAAAAGCCTGGCCGCATGAAGTCTAGAGAGATGAAATCCATTTGTATATACGAGCCGCTTCCCACTTCAGTTGGCGCAACTATTGAAATCTTAGTTTTTTTCTTATCAAACACAAATAATAAAAATGTTGCAGGGTGTTATAGGTTTAAAATATTAACGATGAATATTTTGATAATATATAGTAGAAAACACCAACTCTACCACTCTCTAATCAAATTTGCAGCATAAAAATAACACATGTTGCAATTACAGCATATCAACCTATTTTCATTTCAATGCAAAATAAGTCTATAACGCATAGGTGGCTATTAAAAATAAAAGCAATGACAATTGTTTTTATTAATCACAGCTGTCAGAATACGTTTAAAATAGTTTTGGGTAGTTAAGGTTTTCAAAATGGGTAGAGGGTTATTATTGAGAAAATTCGGTTACTGATAATTAAATTTTTCAATTCTGAGAAATCAAACTCAGAAATTGCAACTTTGTTAGACTTATCGCGGTACAGTGTGAGAAATATTGTTAGAAGATATAACGTAACTGGCTCAGTTAATATTAAGCCACGATATGTGAAAAAAAGTAATATCACAAATGCCGACCGAAGAGCATTAAGAAGAATAATCGTGAAAAGCAGGCGTGCCAATTATTTACAATTAAGTGCTCTGTGGATTGACGCTGTTGGAAGGAGAATTTCGAAGTCGACAACTCATAGAGAGGCCCACAAACTGAGATTTAGCACTTGCAAGGTCAGTTTTCTTATAAAAAAGTGAAGTAAAAACCCTAAAGTTGCACAACTTGTTTATAGCCCAAAGAAAAGCCACTATTAACTGCAAAGAAAAATCGGCTTAGATGGGCTAAAGATCATAGATAATGGACACCTCAACAATGGTGTGCAATACAATGGAGTGATGAGGCCCGATTCGAAGTTTGTGTTGGTCACAGTCGCAGTAGAGTTATTCGCCAAAAAAATTAAGCATTCCATGTTGACTGTCTGAAGAGAAAAGTGAAATTTCCAGCATTCATTATGCTTTGGGGCAGTATGTCATCAAAAGAAGTAGGAAAACTTCATTTTATTGATGGAAATGTGGATACAAACAAATATTTGGCAATTTTAGAAGAATCGCTTTTACCAGTGATGGAAGAATGTTTGACATCCGGTCAAGATTTTGTGTTTTCTGCAAGATGCTGCAGCGTGCCATACCTCAACAAAGGCTATAAAATGGATGGAAGAAAATAATGTACCACTTTTGAAATGGGTTTCTAGCAGTCCAGATCTGTCACCTATTGAAAATTTGTGGCACGAGATGAAAAAGGTTCTA